GAAATGTGTTGGCTTATTGGGGGAAGCCAGGAAAATGGCATGAAGTGAAATGCTAATTCAGAAAGCTGCTATATTTAAAACAGACTGAATGGCCTCCTACTACACTATAACAATTCTGTGATTCTTTGATTAACTGATTGACACTGTTACGATGATAGATCAGTGCTTCAAAGTATTGATAGATACTTTTTAACTTTTGATTCTTAGAACCCTTTTCTTAGGAGAAGAAAAACGATTTGTAAATACAGTGACTGTTAAGCAAAGTCTTGTGTGAAGCCCAGAGAATATTGCACCTGTAAAGTGTCGGGAAAACTGCAAACAGGGAGAAATTTAACAGGAAGAGATAACAATGGGGCTGACTACTATCCCCCTTCAGCAAAAAGACACCTCTCTTGACATGTCTGTTTTACCCTCCATGAATATACAAAAGAACTGACTGCAACACTAACCTGTATGTGTTTTTGGCCAGATGGCCTAATGTGTGGTCACGATAACTGTGAGGGCCACAGCTTAGAGAACAGTCATTTTCAACACCCTTGTACTGTCGGTAACAAAGGGAAAGAACAGTCAACTCTGAATGCTGGAAAAGAATCCGAACAACAGAATGTCTTCCAACCTGCAAAGCTACCAAAGTCAACACTATGGATGTCACCTAATAATGGCAGCAACATTATCTTATGTGCTCTTCATGAACAATTCAATGACTGATTTATACTTTTTTTTAGTTCTATCTTTTTGGTCTCACCTCTTACCTCTACTCTGTGTCTATGTGTGTTGTGTTACTACTTCTTTTCACATGTAGTAATTAATAAACCCATTCTTTTTGTTCATCAAGGGACCCTGTTTAATTTAAACTTTTTTTTAGAAAAACATAAGTTTATCTGGGTCTGGGAGAAAGGCATTCACAAGGGAAGGGATCTTTATTTTTAAATGAACATCATTGAAACCAACTGAGGAAATGGATGACCAACCCAGAGGAGGTGGTTCGTTCCTCCTCATCTGGGAATTTTACAATTTGAGGTGCTTGTCCGAAACTGTTACAAATTGGGTAACCTCACCACTGATCTGATTGTAACAACAGAGCCATCTGACACCCCTCTTTGCTGTGTATTGCAAATGTATATCATTACATGACCATCTCTATTATCATGTTTAATTGTAAATGGAGACCCGCTAACATAATCAGGATTCAGATTAAACTAGATCTCCTGATTGACTTGGTGTCTAGATGATCGGTTACTTACATGAGATCATCGTTAATGGCACTTTTTATTCATTCATGGCATGTGTGCATCACTGGCAAAGCCTACATTTGTTGCCCATGCCTAATTGTGCTTGAGAAGATGGTGGTGAGCTTTTTTCTTGAACCACTGCAGTCTGCTTTATGGAAATATACCCCGAGTATTGCTGGGACCAGAGTTCTGGGATCTTGATCCTACGATAGTAAAAGGATAACAATCCATGACTTGTAAGGGAACTTGAGGGTGGTGGTGTCCCCATTCACCTATTGCCCTTGTCCTTCGAAGTGATAGTGATCCTTAGTTTGGAACATGCTGTTAAAGGAAGATTGGTGGTTTACTGCAGTGCATCTTGTAAATGGTACACACTGCCAGTGTGCATTGGAGGTGTACAACGGGACCTCAATAAGATGGGCCAATGAGTGGCAGATGGAGTTTAATTTAGATAAATGTGAGGTGCTGCATTTTGGTAAGACAAATCGGGGCAGGACATATACACTTAATGATAAGGCCCTTGGGAGTGTTGCTGAACATAAAGGGGTGCAGGTGCACCTTGCCTTGAAAGTGAAGTTGGAGGTAGACAGGATGATGAAGACGGCATTTGGTACGCTTGCCTTCATTGGTAAGAACATTGAGTATGGAATTGGAATGTCATGTTGTGGCTGTACAAGACATTGGTGATGTCACTTTTAGAATACTGTGTTCAAACCTGGTCTCCCTGCTATAGGAAGGATGTTGTGAAACTTGAAAGAGTTCAGAAAAGATTTACAAGGATGTTGCTGGGATTGGAGGGTTTGAGTTATAGGGAGAGGCTGAGGGGGCTGGGCCTTTTTTCCCTTGAGTGTCAGAGGCTGAGGGGTAACCTCATAGAGGTTTATACAATGATGAGGGGCATGGATAGGGTGAATACACAAGGTCTTTTTCCCAGGATATAGGAGTCTCAAACTAGAGGGAATTGATTTAAGGTGAGAGGGGAAAGATTTAAAAGGGACCTCAGGGACACTTTTTCACACAGAGCATGGTGTGTGTATGGAATGAGCTACCCAAGGAGGTGGTAGAGGCTGGGACAATTACAACATTTGAAAGGCATCTGGATGGGTTTAGAGGGATATGGGCCAAATACTAGCAAATGGGACTAATCCGTTTCGGATATCTGGTTGGCAAGAGTTGGGCTGGAGGGTCTGTTTCCATGCTGTACAGCTCTATGACGCTATGGTGGTGTTAATGTTGAAGGTGTTGGGTGGAGTGCCCACCAGGCTGCTGTGTCCAGGATAGTGTTGAGATTCTTGAGTGTTATTGTTGGAGCTTCACTCATCCAGGCAATTAAAGATTAGTCTGTCACACTTCTGAGTTGTGCCTTGTATATGATGGTTAGGACGTGCAGAGGCCAAAAAATGAATTACTTTCTCAGAACTTTCAGCCTCTGACTTGGTAGCCATGGTATTCATACGGCTAGTCCGATTCAGTCTCTGATCAGTGGTTAACTCCAACTTCCCCAGGTTGATTGAAGGGATATACATTCAACTTAGGAGCAGCAGGAAGTCATTCAGCCTGTTGAGCCTCCTCCCCCATTCATTCAAATCATTGGTTGATTTGATTGTGGCCTCAGTTCCCTTTGAATCCCATGTCTGTCAAAAATCTATCTACCTCTACCTCTACTCCACCACTCTGGCCAGAAGTTCATTCCACAGACTGTCTGAGAGAGAAAAAAAACTTCTCATTTACACTTTAAATGGCAGCTTTATTTTTAAACAATCTCACTCAGCTCTCCCATGGAGGGAGACATCAATTTAGCACCCCCCTCGTCAAGTCCTCTCAGGATCTTATATGTTTTAGTAAGATCATCATTCTTCTAACCTCCAAAGGATACATACAGACCCAGCCTGTCCAACTGGTGCTCATAAGGCATTCCATTCCCAGAAATCAGTCAAGTGAACTTTCTCCGAACTGCTTCTGATGCAATTATGCCTATTCTTAATTAAGGACAAATCTGTACTCAGCGGTCTATATGTGGTCTCACCAAAGTCCTGTAGCAAACCATCCCTAATTTTATATTTTCTATTCACACTGCAATCAATAGCACCAATCCATGTGCCTTCCTAAGCACTTGCTGTGCTTGTGTACAAACTTTCTGATTCATGTACCAGGACACTCAGATCCCTCCAGGCCTCAGAGTTCTGAAATCTCTCCAGTTGGAAATAGTTATTGCTTGGCACTTGTGTGACGTGAATGTTATTTGCTACTTATCAATCCAAGCTACCCAGGTCTTGCTGCATTTGGACACAGACTGCTTCAGTATACAAGAAGACATAAATGATACAGAACATTGTGTAATCTTCCGGGGCAGCCCCATTTCTGACTTTACAATGGAGGCAAAGTCACTGCTGAAACAACTGAAGATGATTTGGCCAAACACTTTACTCTGATGAACTTCTGCAGTGACCCCCTGACACAGAGACGACTGACACCCTGCAACTCAAACAATCTTCCTTTATGCTGAATCCAGCAGTCAAGAATTTTACTCCTGACTCCCATTGGCCAACTTTTCTTGAACTCCTTGATACCAGACTCAATCACATACATAGAGATAACAAGGTGCAGAGCTGGATGAACACAGCAGGCCAAGCAGCATCATTGGAGCAGGAAGGCTGACGTTTCGGGCCTAGACCCTTCATCAGAAAATACAGCCTTGATGTCAATGGCAGTCACTCTCACTTCACCTTGAGGTTAGCAATCTTTCTGTGTTTGGACCAAGATTGTAATGAGGCCTGGAGCTGAGTGACCCAGGCAGAAGCCAAACTGAGCAAATGAATAAGCATTGTTCAGCATGAATGAGTATTGCCGTGTAAGTGCTGCTTCACTCTCAATTACACTTTCCATCACTTTGCTGTTGCCTGAGAGTAGAATGAATGGCCAGATTGGATTTGTCCAGCATTTTGTGAACAGGATACACCTAGACAGTTTTCCACATTGCTGGGTAGATATCACCATTGTCACTGTACAACTTGGCTAGTTTTGGACCATACGTTTTCAATACTATTGAGAATGTTGGAGGAGTTAACGACTTTTGTGGCATGCAGTGCCTTCAGCATTCTCTGATGTTATCTGGAGTGATTTGGCTGAGGACTGGTGTCTGTGATAATGAGGCCCTCAGGAGGAGGCTGAGATAGATCATTCACTGAACACCTCTGACTGCAGACAGTTGCATATGCCTCTGCCTTTTGCACTGATATGCTGGGCTCACCCATTGAGTCTTGCTGTCTTCTGTCAACTGGGGTCGAAGTTTTCCACCCAGAGTACATTTTGTCGCCCTTCGCACATCTTCCAAGTAGTAATGGGACTGGACCAGTAATCCAGACTGAGAACAGAAAGCAATATCACCTCCCAAAGTCCATCACATTGTCATGGTCAAGCTTCGTGAGCTAATTACCAAAACCCCAAAACAATTAGCTTCTTATGCTAATTTCTAATTATTCTAAATTATTCTAATAAACGTCTAATATTCTGGTGGGAAATAATATTCATTATTTTATTGTTATAATTATAGCAGTCAAATTTAATGAACTTCATGATGCACCATTGATTAAAATGGATCTTTATCATAAACGCTGTGTTTATAATGGTTTTACTGTTTTACTTAATATGTATGTAACGCGTGCGGTTATATTACGCATATTTTAAGGAAAAGATAGGTGCAGGAAAATAGATCAAGTATTTGGTCATTGCAATGCTGCAATTGTTTCTCAGAGCGGTGTTGCCCTGTGCCTTTAACACAAACAGGCTCCTGCCTCTTTAAAAGTGATGAGTGTTGTTTTGTAGGAAGGGTCCCTTGACGACGCTTCAAAGCTGCGGCTCGAACACGAATTTCCGCGCATTGTCCGAGTCGTGATGAGGAAAAGGAAACGTGTGATCTGGGCTCAGCGCAGTATATAAAAAAAAAGCCAGCAGCAGCTTCAGGGCCTTGCGGAGACAGACATACAGAGAGAGAGAGACAGACAGAGTTGGCGACCCTGCTCCATCCCCGCTCCCCGAACCAATGTCAGCAACAATCGAGAGGAAATCGCTGGAAAATGCAGAGTGAGTTAAACTGCCGGCTCGTTTTCATTTGCATTGCAAACCACTGTAAAGGTGTAGAGATTGCACTCGATTCAGTCAAACCGATCAAGGATTGAACAATTTCCTCAAACATGGGTCCGTGCACACAGCCCAGAGAGACACCATCTGATTGTGAGATTTCAAATCATCTCGATATTCTTGATTTCTACGAGACAACATAATGGCCTAACAACTAAAAGAAAAGCCCCAGATCTTAACCACTTGGGGTTTTGAAGATGGTAACATCTTGCGGAATGCATTTATTTTCATTTTATTATTTCATAAACTTTACATTGACGCACCACAGACAATTCTTTCGCGACAGCCATGTACCATGCATCATTTCAGTTTTGATTTATTGGACGTTACTCATGTCTTTGATCTGAGCAACTTTTAGCCCTTTAGCAGGACGGCGTTGTGGGAACTGTTTGATTTAGCCCCTGATACACAAATACATGTACAACCCTAGTGAAGGGCGAGCGATATTCTTCACGGTAAGCTGCCTCCCACCTCCCCAGTTCACAAAGTGTATCTGATCTGCCACTTACCCATTATCAGCGGACCCGTCACTTAAATATTAATATTTTGAAGCCGCTCTCCCTTTGGGGAATTCTCGTGACCTCTTCATATTTTAAGTTGAACTTCCCCTTCAGCCAGCTGCAAGTGAATTAACCCTACAGCCATTTTTCTTTCATTTTAAACAACGCATTTTTTTTAGGCATATTGCTGAAATATGATGGAAAATGTGGCCACAATAGCACTTTTGAATCCGCAGTTTCTGTGATATATTTTCAATGTCAATATGTGAAAAGGACTAAATATTTTGTGTGCTTCTAAGCTGAGCTTCCAATTGAAGAATGCTTTCTAACCATCGTCTGTTTATTTAATAAGATTGTGTAGCCTTAAACCAACATTGTTCTATCTTACAATAACAGTACATCGCTTATAATAATGCCCCTATCTCACTCATCTTTCTATTATCAACCCATTTGGGACATCAACTGCTACAGTGAAATTTTCAAGACACAGTTGTGAGTATAAGTATTTAAGGAAGCTTGGCTCATGGGTAATACTGTTGCTTTGGAATCTGAAAATTGAAGCTTCAAACTCCACTCAGCTCAAAATCCAGGCTGGCACTTGAGTACATTGTTGAGTTAGTTAAGTTAAAGTCACCGTAGTCTGCCCAGACCTTTGGGTTGCTCTCTCATTAAAGAGCGAGAGATGACTGGTGGTCATTTAACCTCAGGTGAGGGGAGAGGTTGAGAAGGAGAGTCCTTCACGGTAACCTTAGCTGGTGTGGGAATTGAATCCATGCTCGTGGTGTCACTGTGCATTGCAAACCAGCTGAGCTAACCGACCCCGAAATAGGAGCACTGTATCATCAAAGGTACTGTTTCTCAGATATAACATTCAAGCAGAGACCATTGGCCTAGTCAGCTGGATGTGACAATATTCTGTTCTATGATTTGTGGAAATGTTGGAGAGCTCTGGTTAATGTTGTCTCTTCAGCCAATATCAAGATTATTTGGTCATTTATCTTATTGTTGCAATTTTGCTCCTGCACTTCCCTCTGTAACAACAGTGATTAATTCACATAAGAAATAGGAGCAGGATTTGATGCTTGGAGTCTGCTTCACCATTGAATAAGGTCATGTCTGAGTTGATTGTGGTTCTGTGGCCTGACTGCTAACTATCAGATTTTTTGAGGCTATGAAAAGAACTATGCAAATGAATGTGTTTACTTATGCAGCTTAAAATGAAACAAATATTTTCTTTGAAAGCCTATGAACAAAAATTACCTTATAATGATCTTACAAACAAACTTGAAAAATTCTTCGTAAACGCATAGAATAGTTACAAAAGGAGGTTGTTTGGTGTTTGAAGCATCTGCTGGCTCTTTGTAAGAATATTTCATCAGCTTGTTCGACTTTCTTGCCCATCTTCTATGAGATACTACCCCAAGGAATTCCCGTAGCAGTGCTCTCGGACTGAGATGATTAACCTCCAACAATGTTTGAGCTCCTTTGTGCTGGGTGTGACTCCACCCAGTTGGGAGTTTTCCATGATTCTCTTTGATTAAAGTTTTGCTCAGGTTCTTGATGCCACACTCAGTTAAATGCCACTTGATGCCAAGAGCAATCTTTCTCACCTCATCTCCAGAATTCAACTCTTTTGTCAATGTTTGGATCAAGGCTGGAATGAGACCAGTCGCTAACTGGTCCTGGCAAAACCCAAAATGTTCTTCTGTGATGAGTTTTTTTAACTGAATGATGCTTCATGTCAATGGTGCCTTCCTGCCACTCATCATCAACAATGCTTTTGAATGGTCCCTTGAATATGTGTATTTTTATATTAAAGTATTGGTTTAGGTAAGACTTGCTACAGTTTCCTTCTCCACCACAAAGTGATGTCAAAATGAGCATAATAATTCCATCCAGAATGCTGACTGATACTCGCTCATTTTAAACTAACCCATGAATTAAACTGAAAAAGGTTATCTGCTCTGACGCATCAAAAACTGTAATCTTTTAATGGGAGGTACATAATGCATGGTATTTCAAAAAGCTTTAACATATTTAAACATCTTAACATGGAATAATAACAATAATTTTAAAATATCATTGAAATGTAATGGAATAAAATTATATCCTCATATATTCCCAATGAACTAAGCTTGAATTATATTCGCTATTATATTTAGGGACACATGACATCACGTACAGAGAAGAAGACCCTGTGGATTGATATATAGGGGAGATCTTATAGAAACATATAAGATTATGAAGAGAATAGATAAAGTGGAGGCAGGGAGGTTATTTCCGCTAGCAGGTGAAACTAGGACTAGGGGGCATCGCCTCAAAATAAAGGGAAGCAGATGAAGGACTGAGGTCAGGAGGAACTTCTTCACCCAAAGGGTTGTGAATCTGTGGAATTCCCTGCCCAGTGAAGCGGTTGAAGCTACCTCGCTGAATGTTTTTAAGGCAAGGCTAGATAAATTTTTGAACAGTAAGGGAATTAAGGGTTATGGTGAGTGGGCGGGTAAGTGGAGTGAGTCTCAAAAAGATCAGCCATGATCTTATTAAATGGCGGGGCAGGCTCGAGGGGCCAGCTGGCCTACTTCTGCTCCTAGTTCTTATGTTCTTATGTTCTTATATGAAGCTTCTAGCTGACACAAGTGCACTTGTACAAGTGTAAACCTGATTTATTGTCAGTGTCATTCTTCGCACACTTGGATTATTTAGCAAATATTATCCAATTGCAGAATCACATCCAATGTTGGGACACTTTGTTTTGAGTTTTGCAAGCATGAGCTTGTTGGGTACAGTTAGTTCCTCGCTTGTAGCAAACAGCCAAAGGATTATGCTATTTGATGCGACCCTCCAGTCTTGTGGAACATCTTAATTGGCTTGACAGCAATATCCTGTTGGCGGCAAATACCAGTGTTGTTGCTTGCATTATACCAGCATGAGACAGGTAGCTTCACCTGTTGCTCAACAGGGACAAGCAAGCAGTGACCATACCAACCATCCCATGCTTGCACATTCAGTGTCCAACATTAGATGTGATTATGAGGTTGGACAATGTTAACTAAATCATTCAACTCTGCAAAGAATTGCATTAACACTGGATTGTCAGTCCAGCTCACCATGTGGTGCATTTGCATGTGCTGGAGACTATATTTTATATTACATAGGACCCAATCCTTCACATGCAGAAAAAAAATATACACACTTTGCAACTCTTTTAACTCAACGTAACAAGTGACAGCCATCCTTAGGTTAATTCCTCAGGGCAATGCCTTTTCCAATCAGAGTTAACCTGCCGAGTTTAAAATGTAATCAAAGCTTGACAGCTAACTGTAAGCCATCATTAACTGGTGCATCCTCCATCAATCAGAATCAAAATCAGCACCATCGTCTTGTACATTGTAAATATTGTTTTCCCTTTTATTTTTGTATTTCTTGTGAATTGTCTTGATGAATTCAAGACAAAAGGCTTTGACAAAATATATTTTTTTGGAAATACTGAAGAACAGATGTACAAAGTATTTCTTAAATGGTAAAAGGTTAGAAAATGTAAATGTACAAAGGAGCCTGGGTGTTCTCATCAATAAGTCACTGAAGACTATCATAAAGGTACAGCAGGCAGTTAGGAAGGCTGGTGATATGTTAGTCTTTATTGTAAAATGTTTTGAGTACAGGAGTAGTGAAGTCCTGCTTCAATTATATAAAAATTTAGTTTGATCACACCTGAAGTGCTGTGTGCAGTTTTAATTCCCTTATGTTAGGATGCCTATTTTTGCTACTGAGGGAGTACAAAAAGACTTTGCCAGACTTGTTCCTGTATTGGTGGGTCTGCTCAATGAGGAAAGATTTGAAAAACTGGGCCTATAATTTCTGGTATTTCTGTAAGAACTGTGATCCCAGTTAAACCTACAAAATACTAAACGGAAAATACAGGTTGTTTCAGCTCAGAAGTTTCCCCTGATTGGGGAGCTTAGAACCATTTCAGACTAAGGGGAAACCATTTAGGACCAAGAGGAGGAACAGGTCGTGCATCTCTGGAACTCTCTACCCTTGTGGGTGCTGACAGCTCCGTCAGAAGAGAGTAGAGATTGACAGATTTCTAAATACCAGTGACATAAAGAGTAATGGGAGTAGTGTGGGAAAAAGGCATTGAAATAGCTAATTAGCTATAATGGTATTCAATGTCAGAGCAGGCTTGATGGGCTGAATAAACTGCCCCTGTTCCTATATTTCTGTGCCTTCAGCAATCACAATTAAATGTGAACCGTGAGCTCAAATAGAAATAGCTATTATAGAGAAATGGTGACAAGGATATGAGTCTGGGACCTAAACATCCAACAGTACACATATTGAGGAAAGATGGGAAGCCGGAAAAAGATGGTGAGATCTCTCTTTTATTGAAGATGGTGTTTGTACTGTAGTGAGAAATAACACTGGTTCTAATGTTCAAGACATAGAATCAGTTTTGGCAGATAAACAAACAACAAGGGTCAGAAAACAGTGCTGGGTGTTGTTTACAGGCCACCAAAGAGCATTGGTAATGGAAATCACAATATAACTTCAGAAATTAGAGGGGGTGTAACAAGTGTAATGTGGTAATCATGGGGAATTTCTAACTGCGTGTTGACTGACTGAACCTAATTAGTGCAAAAGCCGTGGAGGATGGATTCTTGGAAGAATGCGAGATGGCTTTTTAGAACAGTGCTTTAATGAACCAATTGGAGAACATGCTATTGTAGCACTGTGCAGTGAAAAAAGGCTAATTAATCATCTTGTTGGAAAGGAGCCTTTCAGGAAAAGTGTGGCAAGTGGTGTTATAATTGTAATCTCACTGGATTAGTATATTATGTAAATGGTGAGAGATTGCAGAGCTCTGCAATGTAGAGTGATGTGGGTATCCTTGTGCAGGTTAGCATGAAGGTACAGCAAGTCACTGGAAAAGCTAATTTAATGTCATCACTAAGTTTGATCAGTAACTTTGCGGATCATATAAAAATTGATAGGGTGGTAAATAGTAAGGATGATAGCCTTCAATTATAGGACGAAATAGATGGTTTGATCAGGTGGGCTAATCAGTGACAAAAGGAATTCAATCCTGATATGTGTGAGGTGATGCACTTGGGCAGGACAAACAAGACAAAAGAATACATGATGAATGGTAGGACCCTAGGAAGCACTGATGGTCAGAGGGGCCTTGGTGTGCATGTACACCAGTCCTTTAAGTTAGTGGGCCAGGTAGATAAAGTAGTTAAGAAAGGATGTGGGATACATGCTTTTATCAGATGAGGCATAGAGTTTAAGAGCAGGGAGGTGATGCTAGAATTGAATAAAATGCTGGCTAGGCCACAGCTAGAGTATTCTTTATAGTTTTGGAATCCACGTATAGAAGGCATGTGTGTACCAGAGAGGGTGGAGAGGAGATGTGGCAGGACATTGCCTGTGCTGGAGAGTTTTAGTTATGAAGAGAGATTGGATAAACTAGGGTTGTTTTGTTAGAGCAGAGG